ATTTGTGCTCAGAATTTACTTAATTTTGGAGGGGTGATTTGGGTTTGCCTCATTTTGACTCTGTTCTTGTGGTTGCTATGGTTGGTGGCCTGCCCTGACTTTATTCTTTAGGATGGGGTTTATTTAATTTAATCTGGTGATAGGACTTATCTGGTCCTCTGATGCTTCTATTCAATTCAAAAGAGAGCGAAAAACAGAGGAAGAGAGTTAAATTGGACTGAACTGATTGACTAATTGTTCTTATAGAGGAGAAGGTCTGTTGAGTCCTCAGGGGAGGCATTGATATGGCTCCTGCAGCAAAAGTTACTGGTTTCCGCCGTGAAGGCAATGACTGGTATGCTTCTGTCTATTACTTAGTTGCTTATTTATGTTAGATTCTTGATAAAAAATCATATGTGAAGGCATCAGCTCCGGGACTTGTTCAAGTTATTTGCTTTGATCCTGTCAATAATCATCATGTTCTTTAACACTATAGAATTAGTCTTTGGCATTCAAATATAGTAGATATAGATTGTGGTGAATTGTGGAACTTGTTATATTTGCAGTGCCTCCATTATTACGCATGATTGGGATCAAGGAATAGGAATTCAGTTGTGGCTCTTATAGCCTGATTGTCCTTGGGTAAATATCCTGACTGTCCTTGTTCAGTTCAGTTACCTGTCGCAAATATGGTTTATAGTTCAGAATAAGATTTGAATTTATTGAACTGCCTGTACACGAATTGGTGTCAGAGTGAGGAATGTGAAGGAGGCATGATTATGAGCAAAAACAATTGCTATCTCTCTTATTGAAGTTGGAACTTGAGTTTAATCGTCATTCTTCATTCCCTGACATGTAGTAGGATGCCGAACATGTTTTGACTTTACATACGTTAATGTTTTGACTTTAGATACGTTACACATACTTACCTGGTACATGAGCTTTAAATCGATTTTGATTTATAATGAACTTCACAGGTTCTATAATGCAACTCTACCAAGTGACATAACTGTGGTGGTAGATGGTGTTAACTTCCATCTTCACAAGGTATTTCTTATTCTTTGTGCATCTGGAAATATATGAGATCTATTTTTGTATTTTGTTGTTCTTTTGGTGGTACTTTTTCTGTTGTTCATCTTGAGTTGGTTACTGATGTAGTGCCATTTGTATCTGAGTAGGTCGAAGGCAATGATCTTGTACTGTGTTAAACTTCTCACATCAAAGCATATTGACAAATGTCTGCTTTTGCATGTCCATTGCTTTTAGAACGTGACCGTCAGTTGATTATTTTGCAATTTTCCAATTACTATGAATCTCTCTCTGACATTTTGTTTGTTACATGTATGAAGTTCCAATGTCCCGCCTTTTAGCAACAAAAGTGTTTCTTCTCTAAAACAATTTGTGAGGACTCCAAGGATGTTGTCTTGTTTGAAATGACTGCGATCTCTCTATAAATCAGTACACTGTTTTTTTTTCAATAGCTCATTTCTTTGTGTTTTAGCACCTCTGTTCATTAGGTTCTTAAGTGGTTTTAGAATTTTAATAATTTTTTTTTAAATTTAAATTTTGCCTTCTTCTTGCTTAATGCACAACTGTTTTCCTCTTCTGTGGCTGAGGGGAGGGGTCAGTACTAATTTGAGTTGTGTGGGATTTCTTTGACTTTTTCCTTGGAATTGCTTTTTTCTTCTCTTTTAATCCTCATTTTCTGTCTTTTTTTTTTTTTTTGTAGTTTTCTTAATCCTGAGGATAATATTAATTTTTCTTTGTCTCCAGTTTCCACTGGTATCAAGATGTGGGAGGATTTCCAAGATAATCGAAGAATCTGAAGAATCCACTGATGGGAATTTCATCACAACTTTTGAAGACTTCCCTGGTGGCAGTGAGACATTTTTGGTCATAATAAAATTCTGTTATGGTGGGCGGGTGGAATTTACAGCAAGAAACATAGTAATGGTATATTGTGCTGCGGACTACCTTGAAATGACAGACGAGCATGGAGAAGATAACTTATTGTCAAAGTCAGAAGGTTTCTTCCACAATAATGTTTAAAGAACTGGAAGGATTGCCTTTTGGCTCTCCAAAGTTGTGAACCAGTAATTTCAAGAGCAGACAAGCTGCAAATTGTCAGTAGATGTTTAAATGCTGTCTCCGTGATGGTTTGTACAGATCCTAGTCTCTTTGGATGGCCTATGTTGATGTATGGTAGTTTACAGAGCCCTGGGGGTAGCATTCTATGGAATGGAATCAATACAGGTGCAAAGATCCAAAGTACCATGGAATCAGACTGGTGGTATGAAGACATTTCATATCTGAGTGTGCATTTGTTTGAGAGGTTGATTCATACAATGGAAGGAAAAGGTATAAAACCAGAAAATTTAGCAGGTGCTATAATGCACTACTGCAGAAAGTACCTTCCTGGTTTGGGCAGATGGCAGGGTGGACAGAGTGGTAAACCCAGAACTGTTGCAAGTTTCAGCATGACTCCAGCTGCTGTTGACCAAAAGGTTCTTTTAGAAAGTGTTACAAAGCTGCTCCCTGAAAAAAAGGGGACATTGTTTTGCCGATTTCTGTTAGGGCTTCTACGAGTAGCATTGATATTGGGTGTCAATCATACATGTCAGGACTCTTTAGAGAGAAGAATAGGGGTGCAACTGGATCAAGCTACTCTAGATGGTCTACTGATACCATGTTACTCAGACTCTGATACATTATACAATACTGATTGTGTAGAGCGAATGATTCATCATTTTATGTCTTCTGAATCGAGGCTAACTTCTCTATCCCCATCATCTTTTGATCTAAAACATCTCCATCATCAGGACCATTGAAGAGAGTGGCAAAGTTGGTAGATGGATACATTGCTGAGGTTGCTTCTGATGTGAACCTGAAACCCAACAAAATGCGTTTGCTTGCAGAAGCCTTGCCAGAATCTTCAAGATCTTTGCATGATGGATTGTACCGAGCGCTGGATATTTACTTAAAGGTAACAATAAGTTCACTGCTGCTTATCAACTTGTGTGTCACGTAAAATTTGTGAATTAATTGCTGGTAACTTAGTTTTATTAATGGAATGTCGTGCAACTCCAAAGCAGTTTCCTTTTTCTCCTTTATGTTAGGAGTTCTGCATAATGATGTGTTTCTGACTTTCTGTGGTACTGCATGACTTGTGTATAAATTACTTGCAAAATCCTTTTGCATTTGATACACAGCAATCAACTTAATTCAGTCCTTTAGGACCTTTATGATCCAGATGAAGCTGAGTTTTGCTTAGGAAAAGAAAAAGGAAATGAAAGTGTGATGGACGACAGTTTGGCTGACAGGTTCTCTCATATTAAAGTAATTTTTATGTTCAAAGTATTTGCAGTCAACTGAATTAAAGTGCTGTCTATAGTCAAAGAATCTCCCCAAATGATGTGAACAAGTCATGTTCTTGTTCTTGGAAAATTGGGCTCTAGAAAATGATTTTTCTTAGTTCGTATCATTATTTCCTCTTCAGCTTTCTGGTTACAGCACATCTTAAATTGCTAGAGGCTTCCTTATAATTCAGTTCTTATTTCTGAAGCAGTTGTAATTTTCTTCAAAAGACCAGAAAATGTTATTTTAGTTAATTGTTTCAGCTTTTGTTTGATTTCATTGCAAAGAGACTCTTTATTTTTCTTAAACTCGTGATCTCCAATTGGGGACATTTTTGAATATGTCTAGTTTGTAACAGTTCCCTTGTGATTTTGTGTTATGTTTTAGCCTTCACTTGATATATGCAGTGCGTCTTGGCTACACATGCGTATAACATGCTTCAACACAGATACACGCAGTTTTCTGTGTACCTGCTATTTATACTCCTACAAAGGTGACCAATAAGCTTGTTATTATCCTAATGTGGACAGGAACACCCTTGGCTTCCTGAGAAAGATAAGGAACTGCTATGCAACATTATTGACTTTCGGAAGCTGTCCATTGATGCTTGTGCTCATGCATCTCAAAATGAAAGGTTGCCACTCAGAGTTGTTCTTCAAGTGCTGTTCTTTGAGCAGTTGCAGCTGAGGGCAGCTCTTGCCGGCTGCCTCCATGTCTTGGATGCTGAAACTGCTCCTCCTGTTCCAATGACTGTCCGAGTGACATGGCGGGTCAGATTCTCCAGAGAGATGGGTGGATGACAGTTGCTCGTGCGAACCAGGTATTAAAAGTAGACATGGAAAGGATGAGATCTAGAGTTGGAGAGCTTGAAGAAGAATTCACTAAAATAAAGCAAGAGATGAAAAGGGTGGCAAAGTCATACAGCTCTATCAGTTCTCCTCGTTTCATTGCAAGGAGGATGGGATGCAATCTGCTTCCCCAGTCTTCAGAAGCTCAAACAGATGTTGTTGAAAGTACAGCGCCTACTCCTAGGGCATCAGGTGAGCATGGAAGACTTTCCCTTCAGTCAAGACACCGCAAAAGTTTCTCTTTGTTTTGAAAAATCGTGACATTACCAAGTCTTCTTAGATACCCTGATAGTAACCCTGGAAGGTTGGGTCTGAGCTCGTTTCTCATGATATAATGTGTATATTGAGGTGCCAAGTCATTCGCTGTCAAGATGTTCTTTGACTTTTGAAGGCTTGAAGGAGGTACTGATTTGGTGAAATATAATGCAATTTTCTTGGAAAAGGAAGGAAGGAAGGATAATTTGAAGACAAATTAGTATTCGTTCTCAAAAATTTTGGCTGACATTCCGTTCTCAACATTAGTATAGGCGAGTAAATACATTAAGTCGACTCTAGAGAGGGAAAAAAGGAGGTATATCATTTATAGTTTTCAGATTCTTTTGGGTTCATACATGTACAGCTCCATTTGATAGGATGTGATTTTGTAAGCAGGTGAAATTTTGGTTGATTTGGACAGAAACTCTGTCCAAGTCAATTGATCGCTATGTCTGAAATGTAGTAACAATCTAGTGACATGTTCATCTCATGAAATTTTCAGATAAAAAAGTAAATAGTCAAGCTGCTTAACCCATGTAAATTCTTGGTTTACATCCAACTCGCATGCCTAGCAAATTAGTCGATGTTGCTGTGTATGCTTTTGGCTCTTTGTTTTCGCTAATGTATAGCACCACGGTAAGTTTTATCAGTAATCACCTGGTAAAGTTGCTTCAGGCACCGAGAAAGATGAAAATTCAAAGGCTTTTCTTGCTTGTTTATCTTGGTTTTGCTGTCTAAGCTTTGAGGTGAAAATCGGAGAGGCAAAATGCTTCTGGAGATGTTTATATTAGGAACTGACAATGCCAAGGACGGGGATCAAACAAGTTCTGATGCAATGCTGTGACTTCTGAGCATGTCCCTCTATGAACACAATTAGGATGAATGCAAAATGTGTCCTGATATTGCAGTTGCTGCTTGTGCTTATGGAGGCTAATTTACATTAATAGTTATAATATTCTGACATTGGAGTAATACAACAAGAATAAGTTGAAAACAAGACTCTATATATTGTTCTCCTCTTCTTTGTAAAGAAAAGATTGTGTGTGTATTGTTAGAGGTTTGGAAGTAGGAAGCATTTATGAGAACAGGGAAGAAGGAAAAGGAGGGATGGGGTTTGGAACGATTTTCAGGCATTGTTTGGCAAGTAAGTTTTTAGCCAAGTTTGTCTGCTACAAGTTTTTTTAACAATTTTAGTTACAGCAATCTAAAAAAATTTCTCAAAGTTTTTAAGCTATACACTTCAAAATTTTCAAAAATTTACACATTTTAAAATTTTTTCTACAACTTCTACAATAAGTTACGGTAAAATTTTAGACAAATATCCAAAAAAATTCACTTGCAAAATTGGGCTTCTGTTTCAATTGTACAAGATATATGGTGTATAATAATACCCATATTATGCATGTTTATCAACAAAGTAAAAAAGGCTAACTCTACTCGTGTAACTTATTGAAAATTGTTTGAAAAATCAATCTCAATTACTATAACAATCAGGCATAAATTGCTCATTAAAGCTGTTTCTATGATTATTAATAGAGTACGAGTGAGGTTATAGAATTAGGGAAGAAAAGTAGTGCCCTTGAATTTATATCTCTTTTTTCTTGAATTGCCTGTTGCATGATGGAAAAATAAAAATAATATGTTCTACATAAAAAAATAAAATAAACTCGAGCCAATATTTCCCACTTTTCATGCTTTGTTTGCCCATTTGACATTTGGTAGTTGGCCAACGGCCAGGGACTGTATACTGAAACTTTGTAACATTCTATGGGGCATAATTACAAAATGACAAAATTCCAGGTGTCTAAATATAAATAGTCGTACAAATAAAGCTGCCACTCCAACAACAGCGTGCCATAAACCCTACTATGTGGGATCTTACGAGTTGCAGCCTATACGGAACCGGATTCCTGATACTTCACCAAAAGGCCAAAAGGCCCAAAGCTTTCGTGCTGGATTTTTTCTTGATAACTGATTTAAGTGTTGACAGCCAAAAAGGAAACAGGTATAGAACTTTTGTATTTTTGGTAATAGCTTTACATTGACAAGTATGGCTATTTCTTCCAGAGCTTGAGCTTGGCATTGAAAAACCTGTCAATTTCGCCAAATGAAAGCAACCAATTCGCTGCCCAGAGTGTTGACTTCCAGTTCAGGCTTTTGGGTTCTTCCAAAAACTCGACCTTTTCCAGCTTTTCAATCAGAAATGATGGTAGTTTCAGGGAAAATAATAGGAGTAACAGTTGCCAAGTGTTTCAGCTCAAATGTAGCGAATCGGATTATATTGCGAAAACGAGTGCTCTCAAGGAGGTTATAGAGGAACCCAGAATTGATAATGGAAGTGGAGGAGATGGCGGCAATGGGCGATTGCCGTCTGGCGGTGGCGGTGGCGGTGGCGGGGGCGGGGCGGAGATGAAGAAGAAGAAGGTGATTTTGATGAAAAAGAGTTTGGGCCTCTTTTGAAGTTTGAAGAAGTGATGAGAGAAGCTGAAAAACGAGGGGCGACTCTGCCTTCTGATATGTTAGAAGCTGCCGAGACCACCGGGATTCGGAGCTTGATTCTTAGCCGTTATTTGGGTTTACAGGTGGAAATGCCTGCTTATGATGTTTAAATTTTTTCCCCTGGTCATGGATTTGTTGCTATTGCCATCTTGATACTGTTGGTCGATGGATTGTTAATTGGAGTGTTTCTGGATTGAATTCATAATGCAGGGGTCAGTTTGGCCGTTGGGATTCTTGATGAGGTACTGCTCTATGCTCAGGAATCGAATGCTTGCTGATCCAGCGTTTTTGTTTAAAGTTGGGACAGAGGTTAGTTAAGACTTTGAACTGGGTTATAATGTTGAATTATTATGTATGGGAACATGTATTGCTTGCCAAAAAGGATTATTCTTTGAGCTTAGCTATGGCAGTTATGCCTGTGGGATGTGTGTTTTTATTCTAATCGTTAATCAAGGACAGTTGCTCATTTTGGTCCATACGGAATGGTTTAGGGATACTCGTTTAGCTGTTTCGGCTGTTTTTTGGAGTTTGTCAGGGCTTGCTTTTCTTGTGGATGCATGAAATGCTTGACACAAATACCAAATGGAACCTGAAGTGACAACATTGACATTAGAGTGATGCATTATGTCTGTTTTCCTGTATTCTTTGAACCTGTGAAGTTGCATGGCAGAAAAATGCACAAACTAAAGAATAATTTCATGGATGAGGTTGAAATCGAGTTTGTAGCTTTCAACCTTGTAGACTGGACTTTTGTGGTGAACTTTCCAGTTTAGTTTCAACAAGTTATCCAACTTTTGTTAATGTATTTTCTGTTGGGCTGTCATAAGTAACTGGATGTCTTGTATTTTAGGTGGTCATTGATACTTGTTGTGCAACATTTGCGGAAGTTCAGAAGAGGGGTAAGGATTTTTGGGCCGAGTTCGAATTGTATGCTGCAGATGTTTTGGTTGGGGTGGTAGTTGACATTGCTCTGGTTGGCATGCTGGCACCTTATGCTCGTATTGGGAAGAGATCTGTTTCGAGTGGCTTTTTAGGGCGACTACAACTTGCCACTGCTTCTCTCCCAAGCAGGTATAATAGCTTATAGGATCTTAATGTTACTGTCATTTGTTCTCTTTCATCTTTTAACAGTATAGTGATGACCCCTTGTGTGGTTGACTTTATCATAACATAGATATTGCCATTGAAGCTGATCAAGGGGCTGTTGAAAACCAGCAATCTGGTGGTAGGAAGCAGTTGATGATAAAATATTGCATTTCAAAAGAAAACATCTGTTGTGACTTGAAAGTTAGAGATTCACGTATAGAAACCTTAAAGTCAAGTCAGGTGTATAAGATTTGAATAAATTGCTTCCTATTCTTCCAGATTGGAATGCATTTTAAAGATTGCAAAGCTGTAAAGTAAAACTAGCAACTGAGTGTCTTTGATTACCCAACATATGTCATGACCAGCCAAATTATACAGGAAAAAATTTTGCTTGTGTTGGTCAAAACCTCAAAGGTTGTTGATTTAGGCAATCAACCGATCATTAGGTGATGCTCTTATATAAATAATTCCAGCTACTTCTGTTGCACAATTAGGATTTATAGCCTCAATTACTAGTCTGCATGTTAGAGATATAACTCAGTTTCAGAGTTACTCCAAGTATTAGGACTAAAGATTTTTCTCCTTTTAAAGCATGCATTACCCCATGTTGTACTGAATACCATTAAATATTGCAAACTATCAGCTGATTGTATTTTAATTGCTACTATCCCAATTTTGACAGGGTTTGTGCCTAATATAAGATTAATTAGTTAATACTTGAGTGTCCTGTGAATACCTCAATCCCATGCCCCTTTTTAGTCTTATACTTCTGGTGTTTATTGGGCTAGCAGAATTGCGTGCATCTTGTTTGCTGTTACAACTGACTATTTAGGTGTTTAATTGTGAATATTTTGGTTCTAGTGTTTTTGAAGCTGAAAGGCCAGGATGCAAATTTTCAGTCCGGCAACGAATCGCTACATACTTTTACAAGGTAATACATTTTGTAAATACACCGGGTGACAATTACTATATTTGGTTACCAGGCTTCAAGTCTTGAAGGGAGCATATGTCCCCTATCATCTCATTTTATTTAGTTAAAAGCTTTCCCTGATCCACTTTTTTCTTTTAATGGCATGCATTCTTGTTCCAATGTTAACATCTTGCTTTCCCAGTTCATCTGTGATTTTTTGTGCTACTTTCTGTCGGATCCTTGTTGAATATTTCTCTTATTGACAACCTAACTTATGCTCGATCCAGGGTGTATTATATGGTGCAGTTGGATTTGGCTGTGGGCTTATCGGTCAAGGCATAGCAAATTTGATTATGACTGCTAAAAGGTGTATGTCTTTTTAGATAACTTCGTGCTATTACTTGCTATTGGACTATGAAATAGTTTCTAGGCTTTTGGAACGAGAATAATTCTTATTGTATGTTGTTCTCTTGGGTATTGAATTAAAGTAATTATCTTTTCTTAAACTCACTGTAAAGCTCTGGACTGAAAGCATGAAATAACAAAAAATATGATTCACATCTCTAATTATCATTTCACTGGTGTATGCAGTTTTTAAAAAGTAATCTTTGCACTGAAAAATGGGAAGTGAAACTAAACAAGAGATTAAATTTTTTAATCACTTGCTCTTAGAAAGTGGATTTTGAATAATATAATAAGTTGAAAGCAGCAATTTTGATGATGGAACAAATTGGTCAAATTATCCATTATTTTCCTAAATCAACCTTTTAGAAAAGTAAGTTCATCATATTCAGCACACTTGAAAGAATTAAAGTTTTGCTTTCTCCACTGTATTGAGAGAGCCATTATTCATATTAACCTTCACATTGGCCCCATAAATCCCTTCAATTAAGCACACAAAATGAGGAACTCGAGATAGTATTACGTACCTCACTGTGGCACAATTATTCAGTCTATTCTTTCACATTTTTCTTGTTCGGATAAGCATTAATGGACTATATGTCATTCTGATGAAATTTGAGTGGAGATGTCCAGAAAATTTGGCAGTGCACATTCTTAAATGGCCCCAGATCTATACCGTGCTTCTTTTTATCTTTCAGGAACATCAAGAAGTCAGAAAAGGATATTCCAGTTCCCCCTTTAGTAAAGAGTGCAGCTCTCTGGGGTATTTTACTTGATACTACCCAACCTATCCTTTCTATTGCTGCCACTGCGTGTACTATCTGATTTTGTTGCGTCAGAGTGAGGTTTCCATTATGCATTTAAAGCTTCACTACCTTTTATTATCATGTTGCATACTTTGATTCTGAGGCACTCAATCCTTAAAGACTTGGACTCTCTCTGACTTATCTATGTTCTTTTCTTTTTTCCTTTTTCTCTCTCTAATTTTTTCCTGATGGCCTGATGAACATATGACTTTTTCTTAGGCGCAGGGTAAGTGCCAATTGCACGGTCAAATCAACCGCGTGATTTTTTTTTTTTTTTGGAAAAGAACGCTTGAGTGAATACAATTCTATGAAAGGATCTTATGCTTCTTAAATTTGGATGTAGTCTGCGAATCATATAGGTTTGAGCTATTCTTCAAATTTTTCTGAAATTTAATAACTTGATTGGGTACATTGTTCTTCGTTTCCCTGGTGCTAGTCATTTTTCCTTCCTTCTGCCTGTGTCATTGAAGCACATGTTTGATAACAATCTGATGGATTTCTTATTTCTGCCATCTCATGTGCCTTTGATTTAAGTTGCTGACGGACATGAAAAGAAAGACCTATGCTTGAACCTTGGTGTTCTCCTTCTGGTTAAATTCCTTGAGATATGTGGCTAAAGTTCAAGCCTCCAACAATCTTCTTTCAGAAAAAAAGAACCTAAGAGTCTTAACTTGTTAACCAGTATTCTGGACAAGCCGTTGCTTGGGGCTTGAATTGGAAGATTTTTTAAGAGAACTTCTGCCATGAGTTGCTTGTTCTCATTCATTTGGTGTTATTCATTATTCTCATTTGTCGCCAGGTGTTTTCCTAGCAGTCTCCTCCAATACTCGTTATCAGATTATTAATGGCTTGGAGCGATTGGTCGAAGCATCGCCTGTAGCAAAGCGAGTCCCACCTGTTGCAATGGCCTTCACAGTTGGTGTGCGATTTGCTAACAACATCTATGGTGGAATGCAGTTTGTAGATTGGGCAAAATGGAGTGGAGTGCAATAATAGCATCCATCAGATATCTCATCCATGTATTTTTGATTGATTGAAATATTCATTAGGTTAGATTTTTTTGGTTTAAGCTTTCCCAGCCCTTCTCCAACCCCGCCCTGCTGCCAGGAGAGTGGTGTTTTCCCTAGCTTGAATAAAAGAAGGAAATAGCAGAAAGAAGAAATAGTAAAGGAAAGAGAGAGAGCTGATGATGCCCTTGGCTTGAGCAAAAAAATTGTTGGGTTTGTTTCGATAGGAGTTTATTTGAATGATTTATTTGAGATAATTACTGTAGTACTTTTAGTGATGTGATGTATGTGAGATAAAAGGTAATTGAGAAGATAAAAAAGTGATTGGAATTTGTGAAGTAAATTATTTTATTTCAAAACTATGCAATGTTAATTGTAAATTTTGGTTTTTGGCAAGTCCTTGCTTCAAGCTTGAGTGGGGAGTCCAAAAAACAAGTAGAACATTTTTGGAGAATGCACTGTTGTATCTTGGGGCTTGTTTGGTGCCATATATCCGTTGGACTTAAAAATGTGTCAATTATCAGAAAGAAATGGCTCTGATTTTTTAACAACAAACAGGATGTCAGCTGGACGGTAGAAAGACATGTACAGTAAACATGGTAGAAAGACAGGAATTTGATTGCATATATATATAGTCCATCAGGTGTTCAAAAAGAATAGAAGAAAAAGTAGATAATCAAGAAAATCGACTTAATCCAAATAAAAAAATAGGGTAATGAACTTGCAATTCTTGAAATAATTAGGTTACTCGAATCTATTTAAAAAATTATATTAGAATATGGTTCTCAATTTTTGAAAATCATGATTATTTGGACATATATGCGTCTGTAGCACAAATGTCTAGGATTAGGGATGACAATGGGAGCAGGTGACCGCGAGCACCCGTCCCGCGGGGGGCTAATGGGGAGGAAGTTGGGGCGGGGGTGGGAGGAATTTTTTTCTCCCCGCTTAGAAACGGGGCGTCTAACCGGGGCGGGGACCGGGGGAGTGTACCCCCGTCCCGCCACCCGCTTTAAAAAAATAAATATATGTATATAATTATACATATAATATATAATTTAATTAGTTACAAACTTATGATAATGATATTATTAGTTATATGTATTATATAATGTCTATTAGTATATATAATATAATTGATATTATTAATTATACTAATAATTATATATGTGTACTAATACAAATTATTAATTGATTATACTAAATTTACTAATACATTGATACTAAATTCTTAATTACACTTAATACAATAACATTTTTTTCTTAAAAAAAGCAAACACACAATAATGAATTAGTGATTGTATTTGTGCCAAAAGTGAAAACTTGACTACTTTAGTTATATTTATTTCATCATGTTGGATTGTATTTAAATAATTTTTGTTTGATTGTTTTTATAAGTTTCAATTATAAAATTACAATGAATAATAATTTGATGATGTGTTGATATTTTAGTATTTGATTATTTGCTAAAATTTAATCATAATAAAATTATATAACAAATTTTTATTAACCCCGCGAAAGCACATGCAGGGGAAGCGGGGCGGGGCGAGGCTGGGACGGGGTGGGGGGAGTTTGTAGGCAGCATCCCCCGCCCCAACCCCGCCCGTTGCCGTCCCTATCTAGGATATGTGGGATGGGTTAGGATAACTAGTAGCCAAATCCAAACCTCAACTCCAACTCATAATTATTTAGTCAATTTAATTTACTAATAATTGAATTATGAGAACTATTATATATTTTATTTTTCAAAACTTATAAACTTATCTATCTAATTCTATCTCCCAATTACCTTTTTCACTTTCTACATGCGTCGCCACTAATTTCATTTACTCTTCTTCTCCCTTTTTTTTTTGTTCCAAAACTTCTTTTCTTTTCTCGTAAATCCTATCAACTCCATCACTCTACTAATTATTTTGTTTTTAATGTTTAAAACTTACATGTTTGGTTGTGGAGTAACTTGTCATCCTTATTTTAAAAAAAATAATATCGATTGCTTTCAAGAAATAGAGAAAACGGAAACAAATGTTTATAATATTCGGTGTTTAAATTATCTAATGTGTTTTGATTTTCTATTTTGTTGATAGATTTTTAGAATTGTTAGATTAAATACTCTTATTGATTTGAAAAAAAATATTGTATTGTTTGATTTGTTAATCTAATTCTTTTTTGTTTTTTATACGTAGAAGAAGATTAAATTATCATGTACACTCAAATCCTATCTCACAGATTAACCGATTCAACTGGGTTACAGTATGGAATGTAATTTTGTTGATCGCTACGTGTGATTAGCGACAGTGAATTCGTACATACATGGAATTTATGATCCCTGACCCTGGGCACCCCTAATGATCTCTGCTGAAACTTTTAGCGTCCTAAGTCTATGTGTGAACATTTGCAGCGAAATTTCCTCTTGTCTCCAATGGGTTGTTTTGACAAGTCAGCATTGAGTGCTACGAGCCTATGAAGAGTCAAAAAAGTGGACCGACTTTTGCCAAATTCTTCGAGCCCAAAAGCACAATGGTTCAAAGTTCAACCCGTTTACATCATAGAAGGTCATAATATGGTTGGGAAATCAATTCTAGAAACGCCAAAGATAAGCCTTATTTGGACCTTCTCTCTCAAGTTGGTGGTTTAGGGTCGAGTATTCGCCCGACAAGGGTATTATCAGGCTTACATCTGTGATGTCCAGAAGGGAAAGAACCAAGTAAAATGACGGAAGGAGACTGGAATTTCTTGAATAACAACATTCCTATGATTTTCATGAATTTTTTGTTCCCTCATTACCACAGTATCCATTTGTGAAAAAAATCTTTGAACATTTGGTCTGAGTTAAATTACTCTACTATGTGTGATAAATAATTAGATTTCGAATCTAAATGCTTGTATTTTAACCGATCAAATATGACAATTGAACAATCATTAATACGTCTAAATTCTATCTAATATATTATATGCATATACATACTAATAGTTATTATCTTTTTTTTTTGTATTTATACACTTTTTCTAATTAATTTTACATTTTTAAAAATTTAATACCTGAAATATATTTTAACAAGCGCTCAGAAAGTTCCTGTTAGACAGACCGTATGATAAAATAAAACAATACTACAATCTAATTAATGGTAAGATAGGTTTGAAAGAACTATATGGTATATGTTCGGGCTATTTTTGCTACTATTTAAAACTGCAGTAATAACAATTAAGTTTTCATTTAAAATATCTCTTTATGCCTTTTTAGTTGCTTTGCTTTGGATATATTTATAGCCTTTTGCCTTCATTTCTTGCAGCCTAATACTAACAAAAAACGTACGGTCACTTCAACTTATGAAAACAATTAACCAAATGTGAAATAAAAAACCAATGATAAACTTGAAGTTCATAGGCAGCATTCATCAACAAAAAACTATAAAAAAAAAGAGGGAGATTTAGGTGTTTGAATTGCTATATTTAGGATTTTTTTATAAAAAAACGTATTATAACGATTTTATTTATGTGAGAAAAGAAGGTGACGGTAAATATATTCATAGAAAATGTAAAAAAAAATTTCGGTGGAAAATCACAAAATAGGCAAAAGAACAACTGATGAAAGTTTCTGACATTTTCAACAGGCCTTTCGCATTTGTGCTTCGAACGGTCAAACCACAAACCCATCCCTTTTCGGGTCCCGGATCCACATCCTTCTGGTTCTTTTCCAGTCAACAAGCTTTAAATTGGGAACTAAAAACCAAACCCAAAAAGAAAAATAAAAATCGAGTTTTAAATGTTAATGCTAATTATTATAGCGGAGTCAATAAATAAAAAAAATAAAAAAAAGCGAAATGATGGCGTCATCTGCTGTAAAAAATTGTAGTATACTAAAAAAAAGAAAAAAAAAGTCGTCTTTCTTCCTCATCAGCCTATCTATCGGGCCCCGACGGCTCTTTCCAAATTTTCTCCTCAGTCCACCTCTGTCTCTCTCTAGATCACGCCTCCACACACCCACTGTTCTCTCTCTATTTGTAAATTCAAACCCTAAACATTATTTTTCACTCTCAGCATTTTGATTTTTACTCGGTGAATTCCACCTGGAATTTTGATTAGATGCATTCATTTTGAAGAAACCAAAGCAGAGGATTAAGATCTTTCAATTGTAACCGGACCAAGCGTTTTGAGTTGGATCTGGACCGGAGTTGTGATCGGACCGCTTGGAGATGGCGTTGTCTGGCATGAGAGGGCTGTCGGTGTTCATCAGCGACGTCCGCAATTGCCAGAACAAAGAACAAGAACGCCTCCGCGTCGATAAAGAGCTCGGCAATATCCGTACTCGCTTCAAAAATGAAAAGGTACTTCATTTATTTTTCTTTCTTGTAATCATTTTTTTAAAAGCTTTTTTTAATTCGATATGAGCTGTTGAGCTGAGGGGACTGTATTTTTGTGGAGTTGTGTTTAGGTTTTTTTGTGTTTAAGTGGTGCATTTGTGTAAATTAGGTTTTTATCGAATAAAGAGGGCTTTGAATGTGTTGGCTTAGTTTAAAATTTGTGGAATTTGAAGTCCGAATTCACTTTTTAAGGCTTAGTCGAAATGTGTTTGGAGTGTTTTATGGTTTTGTAATTTTGGCTCGTTTTGGATGCTTACTTTCTTTTTGAATTCTGTCATTGGCAATTTGATTAGTAGAGGCCTTTCTAGTTCAGAAATTTTGAGTTGATAATCTTAGATGGAATTTATGTTTGGAAAGGGTTAGTTGGACAAAAGAAGAAAAAATGTGTTAAGAAATGAAAATGAGCTAGCATTTTGTTGGTAGTGAATGCTGATAATTCGGAAGGGGTGTAGACGAGTAATGTTGAAATATTGGCATTTGTGGCTGCTTTTTTTTCTTTTTCGCTAAACCTTCATTTTCTTCTTGTACTTTCAGCACTGAAAATTACTTGGATGAAAGTTGTGATTTCTTCGATGTTATTTGATGGACGTTGTTAGATCATGCACGGCTATTTCTCCAAATTCAGTATAATCGGGAAAGTACTGCACTACTTGCACAGCTTATAACACATTCAATCCATGGCAAAGACATGGTATGATCTGTGTGAACTGGTAGGAGCTGGGGGTCCCACCATACCTTCCTGGATTTGTGGTTTAGAATAATTCGCTAGTATGTTCAGTTAAGTTATGATTAAGCCTTGAACTTCATGACTTGTTGCTATATATGTAGAATCGTTAAGAAGACTTAAGCATTCATACATAAATTGCACCAGCCTCTTTGTTGTTGTTCCTTTTCTGGGTGGTGGCCTATAGCAAGGGAAAAAGGTAATCCATGGAGTTTGTTAATGCTCAACTAAGTAGTGAAAGAGACAAGTTTTAAGTGGATAAGGGTTAGAAGACTGTACACG